GGAAATCTCCAGCAGTCCTCCCTGTGTACTGGATTTACAGGACTGAGGGTATAAGCACATAATTAGGGTTAATGATTTGCTGCTAACGAAGCCAACAAAAATGGCAAGTCCAAAATTATTTCACAGTAGTACAAAACACAAGTGGCACCTGTGAACCTTCTCTATGAAGAATGTCAGATTTATAAGAAAGTTACTGTGAGAAAAATCGCATTTTTTTTTTTTTTAGCACTAGCTACTGTAGAGGAACTTTTAAAGCATATTTAAAAACTAGCTACAAAATACTTAAAGAATAGAGCAACAGAGTTCCCTTACCACTACCCTGGCAGCAACAGAAGGCCATTTAAGACCAACATGATGATAATTAAATCCAGAAATTTACACTAGACTGGAAATAAATTTTCAGAGAGGGCAGATACCAAGCATCCTTTTTAATACAGGGAATTAGTATCACATACAACATGGGGGATACATTCTCACAAGCCAGATAATTAGCGAGCAAGAAAGATCCAAATACGCAGAGTTTACAAGGCCTTTTTATGTTCAGATTGGTTGGCTAAATATCAGCAAGACACATTCTACAGCTGCCGAAATTTCCCAATGACCTTAACTTTGCCTTAGGTAGGACACTAGATTAGATTAAATTTAGTTTAAAGGCAGTTATGGCCTCCATCACTTCAGCAAATTAGCTACCTGCAGGATGTCTCCAATCCTCCTTCTGCTCAGAGAAAATTAAAATGCATATGGGAAATAATGCTGTATAACTAACTATGCAGGGTAGGGGAAAGTCTCCACCATGGCTTTCAGCTTGCTTGCTCACTCAGGAGAGTCTGCTTCATCTTGCATGAGTTTCAAATGGTGCGTTTCCATCCTGAAAACAATTTGGAAAAGACTAAGTAAAATACCTAGTAACAGTAGCAAGGATGGAAGGGACAAGACTTTAGAACATACTCTGTTCAACCCAAATGTCTGTCAGAGGATCCCACCATAGCTTTTTGCTTCAGAAATTTATTTAAAAGTTTTGTTAGAGGTCACTGTTACTCTACTGTTTGAGAGGACTTGATGACCTACATAGATTTATGAGTCTTTTTTGTTTTCTTTTTTTTTCCCTTGAGTTTTTAACCTGAAGGAAAAACACACGCATATTTGATACAGATTACAAATTGGTATTTTGCTAGGTCAATTCTTTTCTGATCTTCCCTGTAGACGAGAAATATCTCAGAATTCAGTAAGAACATATACTGAGATTGGCTGGATTATAGGCCACAACCCCAATCCTCAAGGGATTTAACTCAGCACAGTCTCACCGAAGCCAAGGGTGCTATGCTAAGCAAATCAGCGGAGGCATAATTTGCACAACAACTATATAAAAGACAAGCCTGATTTTTAGGTAGCCTATACCCATTAGTTTTCAGACTGTGTATTTTACTGTATACTGTATATAGGGAAAACTGGCTTTTTGAAAAATAAAAAAGCCAGTTTATGGCTTTGCCATAATCATGCTGAAGTGACTGGAATTAAATGGTCTTACAAACACAAATATCTTAGGTAGGCATTCATGTGCTTATTCAAAGCTCATATAACTTGAACATTATCAGTCTTGAAATATTTAAATATCAGTCTTTCAAAATTTAAAGGGAAAAAAAAACAAACATAAGGAAAGCCCTTCTAACATCTGAGTGGAAGTGTATCTTTTGAAATAAAAAGCACCAAAGTTAAATATAACAGTCTGAACAAGGAAAAGGAATCTTTTCCAGCTGTTTCATCCTGTGCAGAAAGGGATGCCCTGTGCCTAAACAGCAGCAGATATTACCTTGTCTTAATGTCAGTGATTGCTCTCAGATGCTGCAAATAATCTAGATAGAGGGGACGGTTGAAAAGCTTCTCCCTCCAGTATGCACAGAACACACAGCCTGAGCTCCATTCACGTGCAGAGTATCCACCAAAAACCTTTCTGCTACTCCAAGCACCACGTACGAGTACAGGACTGGACAGATGTTTCTCTTCCACCTTGGTACAAGGAGGAGGAATTAGGATTGGCCAAGCATGCTTGGTATGATACAGCACATCCAGTTGCAAAATGTAAGTGGAAGAACTCTAGTAATGGAAGAAAGGATAATTACAGAGATGATAAAATATTTCAGATGTGGCTCTATTAAATTATTAAAACATATGTAGGGCACAGAAATAATGTTTCTCACGCCAGGTAACTGTTTCAAAAATGGGACATTGATTCAAATGGAAACAGCTTTTCTTTGGGGATTTCCATCTCCTTAAAATGCCCTCTATAGTACAAAAAGATCTGAAAGTAACAAGAAGTTATTTGCAGTAGAAATTTTACAGTTAAGCTTTGTTGTGCAGAAACATCAAGAAAAGGAAAAAAAAAAAAAAGGTACATCCGTGGCAAAAATAATAAGTGCCTTTTTCCCCTGGTGTCATGTCTTTGGATATGTACAGTCTTGAAGAAATGTATAAATCATTTTATACATGGTACTCTTAAAAAACTAGAGCTTTTAGTACAAAGGAATCAATTCACTGAAAGAATGTCCACATGCTGTTGCTTTATGATTTACTATGTACACAAGAGGATCAAACAAAGGACCTCCTGTTTTTACAGGACTGCTCTACTGTACATTAACATGTGGCTAATACCCTTCTCGGGGTGAGATTTACACTTAGTATTACAAACAATATAACAAATGCTGAAAATACGGATACAAAACAGCTTCAAGATGACATTTAAAAAATATCCCTCACTTGAACTGTTTTCTTTAGTTTTCTTTTTAAGTTTCAGCTTTAAAAAAGATTTTTCAAGAAAATAGTAGCATTTAAATGTTCTCTTTGAAATGTATAGACAGATTTCTTTTTAAACAAAGTGTAATCCAAAAGTCCATTTTTCCAGGAAAAAACAACTATAGATACAGTACATAAGCTAGAATTGAAGGGTTTTTGTTGTCGTTTTGGCTTTTTTTTTTTTTTAATGTAGTATAGTATATTTATATCCTGGAAAAAAATCTTGATTACAATGTAAGTTTATTTACAGATCTGAAATATAATTGCATACATCAACTCTTGAGTTAAGCAAGAAATGTATTGTTGATAATAACCAACTTCTCTTTCCATCTACCATAAGCTTAAGAAATTGCTCAGATGAAAAAAATGACTAAATAATGAAATTCTGGTACTATTTTTTTTTGAATTTTTTGGTAGACTTTAAACTATGAGTTTTAAAAGCAGGACTGTAAGTCTTGAATACCATAGTTCATTCAGTGAAGCTGTGTTTGCAATTTTTGCATGTTTTCTTTCAGCAGTAGCAACACACACACACAAATATATAAAAGCACAAAGTTTGGCAAATGTTTGGCTTGATTCATATGCATCCAGGAATGGACACTCAAAACTACTCCTGCTGAATAATTAGACAAAACCTACTCTCTTCCACACCTGATAATGCCATTAAATTTGCTCTTCCCTAATTAAAATCCTCAGTAATCAAGATCCTGGAAGTTTAGGCTGTTGAAATGGCTTTGCAGAGCCTATCAAAGCATAGTTGTTTCTTAATCTAACCAATTGTCACATTAATACAATAATTAAGTAGTTGGATGGATGTTATGTTTGACACTAAGTAAAATTTGCATCACTAATTCATTCTGAATGCCCTGTGGACTTATTGGTAAAAGTCATAGAATTTTTAGTGGCTGTGGAAGCTTCATTATTCTTTATATCCGACTTCAGCTAAGTCACAGCAGTGCTTGATTCTTTGTGTGAGCATGTGCTACGCCCTGGTCTTTCCTTATTCATCACCAGTTAGAGAGGTGACTTTTCTCAGATCTGTCTCAATCACACTTAAATGCACCAGGTTCTTTACGAGCTACTAACTATACGCTCCATTATTATTCAGACAGATTACCCGTCATCACAGAGGTTGTAAACTAAGTGTCATGTTTAGTATATGCCACATGTTTAGAGTAACTTGATTGAGATACCTGTTTTCAAGCCCTCAGCAAAGGGAAAACAGGGTCTTTTGTTACTGACAAGCTTTTAAGTCCTCTAATATCTTCAGATGATTTCATATTCCTATAAGCCCAGCATCCTGCATACCAAACTGGACTAAACCCATCTCACTTGTGCGTAATGCATTGAGACTATCAAACCTGCTGAGTTAGTGTAATTCAGGTCGTTAAATGCAAGATATAATCTATAGAAATTCTGATTACATGGGTAATTTGGACTGGATAATAAGATAATTGCTTCTATTCAAGTAAAATTCACCTCCACCCATTTTCAGTGTGGGAAGTTAAATTATATGACGCATCATACAGCACAGAGTGCCATGTTGCATCATGAGTGATATATTGTCTGTAAAAGCACAACAAATACCACCACAACATCGCATGTTACAATAGCACAAAAAATAGTAGAGAAAAATGTAGCTTAAAAAAGGAAGCAGGGAGGAAGGTTGAGGCTACCATCCTCTGTTTGGATCCCAGTTACTGAGGCAAATACCTGGTAAACATCTGTGAACTTAACAGTTGAAGAAAGAAAACAGTAATTTCCTGTGGCGCCCTGTGGCATCCATAAAATACATATAGCAGGAAGTAGTAACATATGTCTACAAGTGAGCAAAGGTCATTGTATGTAAGAAAGAAATTGTAAAGAGCCTTCTCAGACTTCTG